GCTCTCATGACTCGACTCAGCAGTAGGTGAATTAAACAAGCCACAAGGTGGTGACAGCGACAGGGGAGTGAATCGGGAATCGTTTGGCGATACTGTTCCGCGTTCCGCAGAAGTGAATCGTGAATCGCGTTCCGCAGGAAAGAGTGGCGATTCAGTTCTGTTCTCGCGCTCGTGACCCAGCCCTACACCCCGGGTGAGACTTGCCAATGTAGGCTATTCTCACCCGGTGTGAAACAAGACCTGTTATTCCTCATTTCGGAATATTTTCTATCGGTGTGGATGATCAAATTGATAAAAGCCAAGAAAAAATTATGTTAGGCTATAGCACAAAAGTAAGCTAATTTGATCGTCTTCAAAGATGCTATGACTATTTCACTTTTCGAATCGAGCCGAACTAAGCAGGTCGCCATTTTGTTTTGCCCGGAAGTTCTCGCAAGATCTACTCTTCCCCCCTCTCTCTCTCTCTCTCTGTCTCTTTCTGAATACTGTCTATCAGTGCGGACGATCAAATTGACCAAAACAAAGTTTAAAAATTGTTAAAACACAAAAGTAAATTAATTTGGTCGTCTACAAAGATGCTACGGCTGTTTAACTTTCCGAATCGAACCGAACTACGCGGGTCGCCATTTTGTTTTGCCCGGAAGTTCTTGCGCTACTCCTCTGTCTCTCTTTCTCTCTCTCCACTGCCCACTGACAAAATTGCACGCTTTTAGGCTAACACTAACAGTAGACTACTAGTAGTAATAGAACGTTTTATAAGATAGAGATAGCTAAAGAGAGAGAGTGTAGAATTCTGTGGTTCAGGGTGAACGCTTAACTGGTTGGCCTAGGCTATACTATAACGGTGAATGCCCACCGGGTGAGAATAGCCGAAAGACTCGCCTGCGCTATTCTCACCCGGGGTGAGAATAGAGGTGGCCAATATAGAATTCTAGATCTAGATATATGGAGGAGTTCTGCAGAGGGCAGGCACTTACCACCGTGACAGCGTCCACTGAGCAAACTAATCTAGATCTACATGAGTTACGGTTAGGGAAAGGGTTATGGTTAGGGCTAGGCCTTCTCAGTTCTGAGGGACTGAGGAAGCCTAGGGTTAGGGGTATATATATACCCCGCACAAAGTATCCCCTCTTTTGTGTGTTGTTGGTCTGCCAGCGTTCTGCAGAACTCCTTCCAGATAAAGTATTCCTATCCCTAAGGCCTAGAAAACTAGAATACATCTGCTGGCTGAAAAAGAATATCAAATAGATAATAGAATAATAGACTCGAGTCCGAATATAATTTTTATCTATTCGGACTCGAGTCCAAATATGGGTTTTATCTATTCGGACTCGGGTCCGAAAAAAATGTTTCATTTATTCGGACTCAGCTTCTTAGTGAGTTATAGTGAGTGTAAGGAGGTTACAAAATATAACTGTCGTCGGGGGATTTTACGTAAAACCAGAATTAGAACTAGAATTGCCTACAAGGACTGTGTAATTGTGTCTAAAGTAAAAAGACTGCGCTTTCATTAGATCTACCCATTGGCAGTGTCTAAGTACACGGTAACCGACAACTCAAGGTCTTTCCACCACCACTGCAACATCATCATTACTTCCATCACCATTTGTCTTTCCACATAATTTCATTTTGTTGTGTGTTGTATTTTTTCTGTAATTTTTTTTTTAAAAATCACATCGCACAAAACGGACAGCCGTGGCCTCTTCCCAACACCTCTTTTCACAGCAAGCCGAGAGTGCAATATCGCTCCGCACAATCTCATTTGTCGACCTAATTAACTTTGCCCCCGACAAGGTCAACTCAACTTGGCTGTTCTGTTCAAACTAATGATCCAGGGAGGGTTTAGATATCTAGTAATTGGATATTTAAGCTCACGTCTTGATTGTTATCATTATAAATCGAAAAAAAATTCATAAATGCTGGAATTATTTAGGAACAAGTGTCGGAAGTCGGAAGGGACGGCATGCTGGACTCATTTCAGAGTCCGAATATAATTTTTCTTTATTCGGACTCGAGTCCGAATAGTCACTTCTAATAGAATTAGAAACCAGCCAGAGCTTTTGTAGTTTCGTTCGTCAGTTAAAGTCAAGAGTAGGGGGGTTTCAGGGGGCCCCCTGACCTAATAAAAATATGGAGGGGGGCATGCCCCCGTGAATTTTACCATATTTTGATGTGTTGCAGTGCAGTTAGGTTTCATCCTTGTTCTTTGTGTTGCCCGTTTGGACCTTGGTCATCAAGACTTAGTTATGGATTTCTTCACTGGATGAAGACTAATGGATCGTGGACTTATAAACTTACTCTTAGAATCTAGATGATCAGATCTAGATTCTAGATCTCTAGAAACGTAGATCTAGTTAGATAGATCTATAATTCTAGATTTGGGAACTTTTTCTAGATATCTAGAAGATCTAGAATCTAGATCTAGATAGATAGGCCTAATAATCTCTGTAGATCTAGATTTCTAGATGTAGACTCTAGATCTAGATCTACTTAAAAATGTGGGTCCCGTCTGTACTGGATATATCGATAGGCCTACTGATTTAAATAGGTATATTCTCGGTATCAGATGTTTTATCCCAATGAGAGTGAGAGATGCTGTGTTATTTTTCAGTAGCCTACAAAATGAGCAGTGAAATTTCACTCGTTTTCAACAAGGGGGGTTTCAGTGAGGCGTACCCCCCTGACCTGACAAAAAACATGGGGGGGGGGGGGGACACGGGGGGAAGGTGTTGGGGTTAAAGGGGAGGACGTGGGAAGAGGGAAGGGAGTGTTTAGGGCCCTGAATTTGACCATAGTTTGATGTTTTTGCAATTAGGATTGATATCTCTCCATATCGGCACTCGCGTAAAAAAGAAATAGCAAATTGCTTAGAACCTTGAAGTAGATCTAGGCCTAATCGTCGGTCGGATCAAAACTAGATATATATATCCTCTAAGGGGACCCACATAGTACTGATCTGATGCTATTCCTACATCAGCTCATATCTGATGGTAATCCAATCTATAGGCCTACTTTTTCAAATTTTGGTCTGAGAAATTCCAATTCCTTGTTGATCATCCAAGCCATCCTACACTCCGAGGCCCAAATTCCAAGATGATTATAAGATGGTTACAGAGTTGCTGGTTTGGAAACTTAGTAAAAGATTAAGATTGGGTTACCCTAACCCTACCGAACTTGTTACCTAATAACCTACTCTTTTACTGAATTATACTAGTCATTTTGTTTCATGTTCATTTTTGTCACACCGGTGCAGTCAAGACGTCACAGTCACAGTCATCTCGTCACACCCCAAATCCACAAGGTTTTAGGCCCTAATTGATATACTGTCAGGGTTTTTTTCTGAGTGCATAAAAGCTAATTTTTGAATTTTTGAGAAAATAAGTGCAGAAGGAGATTGCCCACATCAAAACCATTACTCAGGCATTTGTTAATTTTCAGTTTGGGATGAGGAAAGAAACAGATGAAACAAAGCAGAACTATATTATGTAAGCTGTCCCTTGATATTGTCTTCATTATTCGAAATAACAGCTTTGTCTGGAACCCCCGCCCCGCCACAAATCGATTTGTGGGATTGTGGAATAATGCAAACAATTAATTGTGACAGAAGTAAGATATAATACAGTACCATAGAACCTTGTGTACTTGGCTTGCAAAGTAGGCCTACTCTGGTCTGTAGCGTTAAATTTCTGAAGTACGGAATCTCATTTGCTATGTTT